ACTTCTCGAAGCTCGATCTGAGAGCTGGTTATCATCAGATTCAGCTCCACAAAGCCGACATACCGAAGACAGCTTTTCGTACGCATCAGGGACACTATAAGTATTTGGTGATGCCATTCGGGCTATGCAACGCCCCATCCACTTTCCAGTTTGCTATGAATTCTATCGTCAAAGATCACCTACATAAGTTTGTTCTAGTCTTCTTTGATGATATACTAGTCTATTCAAAGTCATGGGCTGAACATCTGGAGCATTTGAGAGTGGTGCTCAAAGTCTTGGAGGCTAACTCGTTCCATATCAAGCCGTCCAAATGCTAATTCGGGCAGGAGATGGTCGAGTACTTAGGCCACTTTATATCCCATAATGGCGTGACGGTTGATCCAAGGAAGATAGAGCTATGGTCGACTGGCCCAAGCCAACAAGTCTCACGCAACTTAGAGAATTCCTAGGGCTCACGGGCTATTACCGGAAGTTTGTGAAGGATTATGGAACCATTGCCAAGACACTTACAGAGATGACCAAGAAAGGAGGGTTCACATGGACCACGGCTAGTGAGGAGGCATTTGAGAAACTGAAGGGCGCCATGACTACAACGCCAGTACTCGCAATGCTAAGGTTTAATGTCTTGTTCGAGGTACACACAGATGCTAGTGATATTGGAATTGGAGTTGTACTAGTGCAGGAAGGGCGACCCTTAGCCTATCTCAGCAAGGCACTAGGCGCGACTCGATTGGGTCTATCTGTGTACGTCAAAGAGATCTAGCTGTTTTCGATGCTGTAAGATGTTGGAGGCCCTATCTGCTGGGGCGACGATTTCGAATTGTGACCGACCAGCAACCACTCAAGAATCTACTCGAGCAAAGGATTGTTACTTCTGAGCAGTAAAAGTTTGTCTCGAAGCTTATGGGGTTTGACTTTGAGATAGTCTACCGGTCAGGTCGACAGAATGTTGTAGTTGATGCCTTATCTCGACGAACAGATGTGGCTGAACTTGATGCTATCACTGAACCAACGTGGACCACCTGGGAAGAAGTTCGAAAGGTGCAAGAAGAGGATACTTATTGAAAGGAAGTGCATCAAAAGATAGAGGCAGGAGAGATCATTGCTGATTATGAAATGCACAACGACCTTTTACTACATCGAGGTCGAGTGTTCGTTCCTGACAGTGGGCAGCTACGCGAGAAGGTCATGCAGCATGTTGTTATGCGATTGATAACAACGATCTAACGATGGATTTATTTAATGATTATTGGTGATTCGATCGTAAAGTATGTATGAAATACTCAACAATGGCCTCGGTCCGAGGTGAACCGAGGTGAAAAGCTTCTGTGAGCTGTTACGTGTTTCATAATAAAGAATTTTTTTAGTTCGGGAATCGAATCTCGTACAAGTACTATCACTTCGCTATTCATAGTAACTTTTTTTATAAACATTTCGGGATCCGTGCATTGCTTTTTCTATAAAGCTACTTTTTGATAGGCGGCAAGATCAGTGGGTCCCACTTGAATGATGGCAGACCTTGTAGGTTGTGAGAATGGCGTGTAGGCGCCTTGTCACCTGCTTAGGAGGTGACGACCTCGGTTCGTCTTGATCTCGGTTGGGGTGACATTGGTTGACAATGATCACTTCGGTCTTCTATGGTTATACCGGTGTGCCATGTGAACCAGGGTGACTTCGGTCCATGTTGGTGGAGGTGTTAATGTTGCCTACGACGCTGTTCGAGGCCCTTAATAGTGGATTACCGAGTTGGATGATAACAGAGAGGCCCCCAATATCGGCGGGCACACGGAGTGGTGGTCGTCGATATTGCAGAACAACTAGAGGCTTCGAATCGGTAGGAAACGGGAGGCTGGAAATGCTCGTTCTTAACATTCTGATTTGTGCGAGGTGACCGAAATGGGTCGTACGTTCCGAAGTGAGCTGTTTTCTGAGGTAAAAACACTTGGCAAAAATCTATCGTTATCTGGACAGTACAGAGAGGAATCTGAAAAGACGTAACGATCGATGATTTAATGCACAGTGTGAAAGGTCACGCCGTAATGGTCTTAAATGAAATAATAGTCGTCTTTACTAGGATGCCACGTGTACAATAGGTTTTCTTGTCAGTCGAAAGGATGGCACCGCTTGAAGCTAGGGGTCACGTCGGTTGCACGTGCCCCTAATTGAGGCCCTCAACGGTCAGAAATCAGAAATTATAAATAGGGCTACGCAATTTGTAATCGAACTTTCTTCACTTTGCATTCATCTTCAAGTTCTTAAGTACTGCGGCTGAAATTCATTTGCAAATTTGAGATTTGTTTTTAGTGCGCAATGGTGTGCTCATTCCTTTCTCGGTAAGCTTTATTGTCGATTTTCACTTTTCCATTATACCATATTTTTCTTTCTGTTCGATGGCGTCGAAGGAAAAGGGTAAGTCGGTAGCAAGTTCTTCAAGTACGAATTCAGTTCTGTTAGAGGTGTATCACGATTCGAAGTTGGTTGAATTAGCTTTCGAGTATTATCGGTGGGATCCAATGTTTGTGAGGCATTTAGATATCAAACCCAACGACGAGGACGGTGACTGCGTGGTGGAAGAAAATGCAGCCGAAGTCGAGGTGCCTCACTGGAGGAGGCTGGTGATGAAATGGCCTGACCCCGCAGTCGATTTTGAGGGCGAGCCGGGTATTCTGACCGACGCCGATGTGGTGATGCTTCATGAGCAAGTTCGGATTCCACCCTCGGTGAAGATTTTTGCTCCTTACCGCGGGGAGAGAATAACCAGTCCTCTTCCGGGTTGTGTTGGCGTATTTGCGAAGAGCTTGAGGTCGGGATTGAGATTCCCGTTGCCGAGTTTGATCACGGAATACCTTCAGAGTTGGGGGTTACCGTTATGTAAAATAACACCAAATATTTGGAAGAAAATCATTGGGCTGATGGTGTTATTACACGAGAGAGGTGAAGGTCTGCCATCGTGTGACGAGATAAGGAGCATTTTTACTTTTAAGAAGAGTCCGAAGAGGAGAGTGGCGAAGTCTTCGTGTTGTTTCTTTGCCGGAGCAAAACCGCAACATGGCCTGCAGGTCGGCGAGATAATAATCGACATCCCAGAGACTCTCCATGGCTTTCAGGAAGAGTGGTCATGGGTTGGGGGAGAATGGAAGTCTGAAAGTTTTTTCCATGAATCGCGAATAGACGGGATGACGATTCCGATGTTTATTCATTCCGGAGCAAGTGAGTTTATTTTATATTTCAATTCTGGTATATTTTTCTGATTTTTGCTTTGTTCTGTGCGCTAACAGGTCGGAACTTTTACTCTTTGTAAAAAAAGAGACAAAGCAGAAGGAACCGAAGTTGAGTCCAGAGTTCGGTGGAAAGATGCTTACGCTTGCCGGCTTTGACAACGATATACGGGATTACTGCAAACTCGTAGTAGATCCAAAACTTGAAGCTGCTGGTCTATCTCCTGGAGTCTCTACTTTGAAATTTGACCCCGGTAAGGGAACTTTACCATCTGATAACTTTACCAATACTTCACTATGTGTAGTTGTTGGTGACTTTGATCGTCTAATGTATTAATGCAGTATACTATCCGCTCCTCGGATTTTTGGGCTACCAAGCTGTTAAAGAGGCTAAAGACTTCAGGCGTAAGTATCCGAATAAGGATCTGCAGTCTAAGTTTGGCAAGAGCCGCGATCTACGGTTGACCAACATCATGAGGAGGGACTTAGTTCGCGCTTTGGTGAAAAGAACGGCCAGCCAAAAGACTACTGGCAAAAAGTCGACCAAAGTAGGGTCAAGTGCGACCTCGGCGGCTGTCCCAGAAAGCCCAAAGTTTCTGCAAGAAATTGCGCCTACCGAGGTGGCACTAGTGGTGAATGCTGCTGCGATCAATCAGGCTGAGCCTGAGCCAAACGTAATGGGAACTGAGTTAGTTGTGACTGAGCCTGTGCATACTGAGGTGCCGAGAGAAGAGCCAGAGAAACTATCCTCTCCTCCGAAATCTGTGGATTCTAATCAACCGGAGAAGAGAAAGAAAAGAAAGTTGGTAAAAATGTCTGATGAAGGAGCTTCTTCCGGAGCAGAGAAGAGGTCGAAAAAGAAGCACGACTCCGGTCGCAGAGCTGTTGCAAAGAGTATTGATGAGTCTCCGCTTTTTGAAAAGTCATTTTTGTCCATCGACGATAAACGAGCTGCCAATGTCAAGGTGCCCGAAGGCGTTGTGGAGGAGTGGTTTACCACATTTCAATCTGTCAAATCTCCACATATGTCGTCGAGGATTGACATGCCAGATAATGCTAAGAGTGCGGCGCGGGTTCCTTTGATGGTGTGGGACCCTAAGTCCGAAGTGGGAGTCTCTTCTCTGTCGAGTGTGGATAAATTAAGCTATGCCAAGGCTTGCTTGGGTCGGGCTTTAGTTAGCCTGGTTGCGGCTGAGGACGACCATGGTCGAATTGCTGCCCAACATGAGGGGAAGAAGCAAACCGTGGTCGAACGAGAGGCGATGATTGCGTCTTTGAGGGAGGAGACGGCTAAAGTTGAGGCCGACATGAAAGGGAAAATTTCAGAACAAGTTGCTCAGTTGGAGGTGGCACAAGCTGAGATCTCGGTATTGTCCGAGGAGAAAAGGGCCTTTCAAACCGAAGTGGCCGAACTCAAATAGCGTCTTGCCTTTGCTGAACAACATTCCATGGCATTGGAAATCAAGGCCGAAGAGACAGAGAAGAAGTTGTCGAAGGAGAAGGTCGAGGATGAAGCAACTCGCAAGGAGTGTGCCGAAGTCCGTGAACTGGTGGGCTGACAACGGGATGCACATCAAGCCGAGATGGCCAAACTTGACAAAGAAAAGTCATCCTACGGTGAAACCATGTATGAGATCGGTTTTCAAGCTGGAAAGGACTCAATTCCTGAGGTGGAGACTGTTCAGGTCGGTAATGAAGATGTCGCGGGCGATGCTGGCGCCGAAGTGGAAGAAGAAATCGGCCCAGATCTGGAACTTGAGATGAACACCTGTCTAACACTTCGGTGGGTTATTGAGCGGTACAATGTGGGTTATTACGACATTAATGAACTTCGCTTCTTCCTATTCCATAAGCTTGAAAAATATGGCTTCGACATGGAGATAAAAGGGATGCATATAGAGGCTTATGAAGATGAACGAGAGTTCTGTGAATGGATGCTCCGTCGGGCTGAAGAAGTGGTACCTAATCCCGACTTGCCTCAGCTTACTGAAGAAATGGCGGCTCTTCTCCGACGTGCTTACGTCAATATGATTCTTGAGGGGGAGAAAGGGAAGAGAAAGGAGCTGGCCGACGTGTATCTTTCGACTCTCACTGATGTGGAGGTTGAACAACATTTTGACGACATGACTCCTGAGCAGATTCGGAATACCGTCAAGGCTTATATCAAAGAGAAAGCTAAGTCGGTGGACAAGGAAGTTAAGATTTTCAAGGTCGTCACACCGGCTGAGGGCAAGCCTGATGAAGTGCAAGATCCGCGTGATGAGCTCGTCCCAGTGTCAGATGCAGCTATTGATGCCGCGGCCAAGGCGAAAGAAGTGGCGGTTTTAGAACGACTTCAGAAACAGCTGTCATCTGGAGCAGAAGCCGGAGAAGGTAGCAGCAGCGGCCGATGTGGGGATGATAAGGATGATGCTGCTTAAAACTTCCGAATATTTGCAGTTTTTTTGTTTTGATAATATTTCGAAGTATGTAGTCGGGGTGTCAGCATGTTGACATCCTTAGTAGGAAATATATATAATTATGAACTTCCCGACTTAGTAATATAAATTATGAATGTTTGTTTCGATATCCATTCTATTTATTTTGTTGTGCAAGGTTTCAGCGATTTTCTTTAGATCAAAGTGTAGCAAACTCGGTACATAGATAAGATTTTCCTCCCAACTCGGACTCATTTATGTTTTCAACCGAGTTGTGGATTCTTATAAGGATAAATTCCGAGTTCCACTTAGATCAATGAATGCGGCTAATAGTGTAAGTTGATATGCAAACTTATCGAAAATTTGCAAAACTTAACATATCTTATGTCATGCGTAAAATAAACAAAGTTTACCGAACTTCGTCAAAGTTCGATTATAGAACGGCCCCAACCGATTTGCTTATTTTGTATTCGGTGATTATCGGGACCCGCCAAATCATGTGTGCTGAAGTGACGTGGACGAGCTTCAACCCCAACTAAAGCATGCGTAGGATTTGGATAGATTACGAGGTATCAATGAGACCGAGTGTCGCAATATTTACATCGGCACAAGATATTAATAGAACCGAGCTTCGAAGTGTTTTACATCGGTACCAAGCTATTGCTTGGATTTCAAAAGTGAAAGTCTTTGAACTTTCATTACATCAAAAGAGCATCTTGGGTTCCTTATAAAGGCAAAAAGAATGTCCGTTAAAAAGGAGAATCGGCTATCCGACTTCAGACCATTCATTGATAGAACTTTTTTGGGAAAACAACATTCCATGGATATTGATATGGAGTTCCATCAGGATGAGCAATTCGGTAGGCCCCATAGGGTAGAACCTCGATGATTTGGAAAGGCCCTTCCCACTTGGGTTTCAGTGAACCGGGGTCAGGGCCCATTATGCGCTTGAGGACAAGTTCACAAACTTGGAATGAACGAGGCTTGAGTTTAAAATTGACATATCTTTCACTTCTACCTTTGTAAGCAGCATTTTTGAGTTCCGCGCGGACACGGTTTTCTTCCAGTAAGTCCAAATTAGCCTTCATGTTGTCCGAGTTGGACTCTTCGGTGAAATGTTGTATTCGGTAAGTCGGTTCACCGAGCTCGACTGGGACCACGGCTTCTGAACTGTAAGTTAGTGAAAACGGAGTTTCACCGGTGGAAGTTCTGATAGTTGTTCGATAGGCCCACAGGACGTGCGACAACTCTTCAGGCCAGGCCCCTTTGGCAGCATCAAGTCGGGTTTTAAGGCCATTCTTTATGAGCTTATTAACAGCTTCAACTTGGCCATTGGATTACAGATTGTAGGGCGAAGAGAAAAAGTGTTTGATGTTATGTTCTTCACAAAGCGATTGAAGCCGCTTGCCTTCAAATTGTCGACCGTTGTCGGTGATGATGGAGTTCGGTACTCCGAAGCGGCAAATGATAGACTTCTATACAAAGTCGACAACTTTCTTCAGTTATCGTGGTTAATGGTTCGGCTTCAGCCCATTTGGTGAAGTAGTCAACCGCAACAATGACAAATCAGACGCCTCCTTTTCCGGTTGGTAGGGGACCTATGAGGTCAATCCCCCATTTGGCGAAAGGCCAAGGACTGTAAATTGACTTAAGCTCTTAAGGGGATTGATGAGTGTTGGGTGCAAAAAGTTTGCACTTCGGACATTTCTGGAACCATGCAGTGGCATCGGTTTTTAGAGTAGGCCAATAGTAGCCTTGCCGCAAAATCTTATAGGATAAGACTTGTGCACTGGGGTGACTCCGCAAATTCCTTAGTGCACTTCTTCGAGAACATATCCCGACTCTGATTCGGTCAAACATTTTAGGAGTGGGACCGAATACCCTCTTTTGAATAATGTTTTGTTATCCAAAGTGTACCGAGCTGCTCGAATCCGAAGTGCCCGAGCTTCCTTAGGGTCCGAACGTAAGGCCCCAGTTTCCAAGTATTTAATGATAGGATCCATCCAAGTCGGAGGTTTTTGTGAGCCATCGGACCAACGGTCGCGACTTCAGAAAGGAGAGTCGACGGCTGTTCTGGCTGTCCGACTTGGACATACTCCATGCTTTCCATCCCGGTACTCGAGGCTAGTCGGGACAAGGCGTCTGCTTGAACATTAAGAGTTCGAGGAATATGTTCAACGTCGACGAAGAATTTTGATAACTTCCGTTTTGCCAAGGATAGATACGGTGTTAACCGGGGTTCCTTAACTTCATATGAGCCATTGATTTGATTAACCAAGAGTTGTGAGTCTGAGAAGACTTTGAGATAATTCACGTTCATGGATTCAGCTAAATTCAATCCGGATAGCAAAGCTTCATATTTGGCCTCGTTGTTGGTAGCGGAAAAAAGAAATTTGACCGAATGACAGAACAACTGGTTTTTCGGATTAGCCAAGACTATTCCCGCACCTGCCCGGTTTTCTGTAGAGGAGCCGTAGATATGGAGAACCCATGGTTGATTGTCATCGTGAGCCTCTACAGCTGGTGTAAATTCGGCAATGAAGTCGGATAGGACTTGTGCCTTGATTGCGGTCTTTGGTTGGTATTGAATGTCAAACTGTCCGAGTTCAACAGTCCATTTTATCATTCATCCCGAGGTGTCAAGTCGGTGTAGGACCTGTCGTAGCGGATACGAGGTACGGACAGTTATGGAATGTTCTTGGAAATAAGGTCACAATTTCCGAGTGGCAGTGACAAGTGCAAATGCCAATTTCTGTTGGGTTCGATATACCGTACGAAACAGAGTTTACAGCGGAATTTAAAATTTTATAAGTATTTATCTTATAAATACTTATTCCGTACATAAGTATAACGATATAACGAA